TCCTAGGTATTTTATCTTTTTGGAGGCTATTGTAAATGATATTGATTTCTTGATTTCCTTTCCAGAGTCCTCCTGGTTAGTGTAGAGGAAATCAACTGTGTGTATTTATCTTGTACCCTGCTACTTTGCTGAATCCTTCCATTAGTTCCAGTAGCTTTCTTGTGGAGTCTCTGGGATTTTTTATGTATAGAACCATGTGACTAAGGATAGTTTTACTTCTTCCTTTTCAATTTGGATATCCTTTATTTCCCTTTCTTACTTTATTGTTCTAGCTAGAACTTCCAATACAATATTGAATAAAAAGTGGTGATAAAAGGAGTTCATATTTATTATAATAAGGTTCTATTTCTTAAACTGGGTGGGAGTCCAAGAGTGTTGATATTATTTTAAATATATGTATACATGTATATATATATATATAAACTCGTGAAACCTGTAACCTGTGTAAGGTGGAAACCTTTCAGAGAAGGAAAACTCACTGGGTTGTTTGTGAGGTAGGATTTTCAACAGAGAGCGATAGAAAAGTGGTAACACTGCACTCTGTTAAAGGGAAAACTTGCGAGACATGGAAAAACAAGGTAGTCCCATTGCGTTCCAGCTTTCACATGTTTCACGTATATAGATGTGTATATATATGTATATATCTATATATATATGTATAGATATATACACACATTTTATATATATATACACATATTCTTCTGCATTCACAGCATATGTCTCAGTAATAGATGAATAAAGAAGAAATCAAAGAAGAAATTAGACCCTACAAAAATTAAAATACAGTAGCACATTTATAAAATGCAGCTAAGTTCTTAGCGGGAAATTCAGAACTCTGTTTGAAATAGAAAGGAAAAGAGTTAGTGAAGTGTTCATTATAAGAAGTTAGAAAAGAAACAACAAAATGAACCCAAATAAAGTAGAAAAAAAGAAATATTTTTAAAAAATGGAGCTGAACTTAATGGACTAGAACATAGACAAACACCCGATAACATCAAAAAAGCCGAAAGTTGGTTCTTTGAAAAGAATGATAGAACTGACTGCTTTTGAGGAGCCTTATAAAAACAGAGAGAGAAAGAGAGAGAGAGAGAGTTCACAGATAATATTAAGAATAAAATAAAGGTCATAACTACAGATGCTAAAGACATTTTTAAAAATCAGAGAATATTTTGAACAATATTATATCAATAAATTTAAAAGCATAGATGAAGTGGAGAAATTTCTAGGAAAATAAGTTTACCAAAACAAATTCACTTGCTCAAGAAGAAATTTTAAAACCTGAGAGGTTTATAATTATAAAAAGAATTGAGTTAACAGTATGTATTTTCCCACAAAGAAAAGTCCAGGTCCAGATGCTTTACTGGCCAGTTATACTAAACATTCTATTTCTATAGCTCTATCACAAATAGATGGAGCCCTAGGGAAAGATTAGTCCAAAGGACTAACGGACACAACTCCCACGAGGTCCAACAGACTGAGTCCAGCACAACTAGATGGTGCCCAGCTACCACCAATGACTGCTCTGATAGGGATCACAGTAGAGGTTCCCGGGCAGAGCTGGAGAAAAATGTAGAACAAAATTCTAACTCCAAAAAAAAAAAAAAAAAACCAGACTTACTGGTCTGACAGAGACTGGAGAAACCCCGAGAGTATGGCCTCTGGACACCCTGATAGCTCATTAATGAAGTCACTCCTGAGATTCACCCTTCCACCAAAGATTAGGCAGGCCATAAAACAAAGCATGACTAAATGGGCACACCAGCCCAGGGGCAAGGATGAGAAGGCAGGAGGGGACAGGAAAGCTGGTAATGGGGAACCCAAGGTTGAGAAGGGGAGAATGTTGACATGTCGTGAGTTGGAAACCAATGTCACAAAATAATATGTGTATTAATTGTTTAATGAGAAGCTAGTTTGTTCTGTAAACCTTCATCTAAAGTACAATAAAAAAAATTACAAAGAAAAAAAAAGAAATAGAAGGAGCCCTGGTGGTGTAGCGGTTAAGCAATCAGCTACTGACTGAAAAGCTGGCGATTTGAACCCACCCAGCGGCTCCACAGGAGAAAGATTTGGTGATCTGCTCCCTTTAAGGTTACAGCCTGGCAAACCCCGTGGGGTAGTTCTTTTCTATCACATGGGGCCAGTATCAGTTGAAAATCAACTTGACAGCACCCAATAACAGCATCAGGAATAGAAAAAGAAGAAATTCTCCAAATCCATTCATGAGGCTGGGATAACCTTGATACCAAAATCCAGCAAAGACAGCACAAGAAAGATAAATTACAGGCCAGCCTCACCATGAACATAAATCCAAAAATCATAAGCAAAATATCAAACTTAATCTATCAATGATGTAAAAATGACAATACATTATCATTGAGTTGCATTTATCTGTTAGAAAATTAATCGATGTGATTTATTTCCCAAATAAATTACAATTTTAAAATTATATTATTATCTTAATAGAGTAGGAAAAGTATTGGATAAAATTCAACACCTATTTATGATTTAAAAACTAAAATCTCCTAGAAAGTTATGTAGTAGGTATAGAAAAGAGCTTCTTTACCTAAAGAGGGGTATCTACAGAAAAAAAGAATGAAATGAAATGAAAAAATTACAGCAAGCATCATACTTAATGATAAAAGGAAGAAAGAATTTCATTTAAGTTTGGGAAAAAGACAAATGTGCCCCTTTCACCACATGTGTGAGGTCGTTAGTGGTTCAAGGGTAGATTTCTCACTTTCATGCAGGAGACCAGTGTTCAATTCCCAGACAATTCACCTCATGCACAGCCACCACCCATCTGTCATTGGAGGTTTTGAGCATTTATGTAATGTTGAACAGGTTTTAGTGACACTTTCAGACTTAAGACAGAGTAGGAAAAAAGGCCTGGTGATCTACTTCTGAAAATTAGCCAGTGAAACCCCTATGGATCACAACAGTCTGATCCACAACCCATCATGGGGATGGTGCATGACCAGGCAGCATTTCCTGCTGTTGTGCATGGGTTTGCCATGAGTAGCGGGCCAATTAGACGTCAGCTAACAGCAACACTCAACGTTATCCGGGAGATCCTAGCCAGGGTAGCGAGGCAATAAAAAGAATTAAAAGACGTAAGTACTAGAAAGAAAGAAAGAAATTGTCATTTGCGGATGACATGATTATCTACATGGAAAAATCCAAAAGAATGTGTAGATTAGAATCACTAAAAAGTTTAGCTAGTTTGCTAGTAGAAAATCTATATCCAAAAATCAATTTATTCCTATATAGTAGCGACAGTTAGAAAATGAATAGCATTTGAATAGCATCAAAAGTAGCAGCAGTATTTAAAAATAAAGTTCCTAGCAATGCATCTAACATAAGATGCAACAACATTTAAGATATATTTAAAAAACAAAACAATACAAAATGTGGTGCCATCAAGTAGATTCTGATTCAAGGCAACCCCGTGTAGTTTCATAGAGTTTTCTTGGCTGTAGTCTTTACAGAAGCAGATCACTAGGCCTTTCTTCCTCAGTGCCACTGGGTGGGTTTGAACTGCCAACGTGTAGGTTAGTCGTAGATTACAAACCATTTGTGCCACGTATATTATACTGGAGAAATATATTATGTTCATAGATTGAATGTCTCAATATCACGCAGTAGTCAGTTTGTCTCAAATGGCGCTATAAATTCAATGCAATTCCAACAAAAATCCCAAAAGACTAGTTTGTGAAACTTGAGAAAGTAGATACTAAAATATATATGGAAGAGCAAAGAGCAAAGGACCAGGAATGACCAAGGTTCTCTTAAAGAAGAACAAGGTGGAGACATTTTCTTTACACTAAAACCGAGGCTCATTTTGAATCCAGAGTTACTAAGATGGTGTAGTGTTAGCATTTGTGCAGGAGTCCCTGGGTGATACAAACGGTTAATGAACTTGGCTGCTAACCGAAAGGTTGAAGGTTTGAGTCCATCCAGAGGCACCGTGAAAGAAAGGTCTGACAATCTACTTCCAAAAACTCAGTCATTGAAAACCCTATGGAGCACGGTTCTACTCTGGCACACATGGGGTTGCCGTAAGTTAGAATCAACTCAACAGCAACTGTTTTTTTTACTGGTCTTCAGCGTTTGTGCAGGGATGGAAAAACAAACCAATAGAACAGCATAGAGAGCTCAGAAAGAGTCCCAGGCATATGCGTGAAATGTGAAGAAGCTCACACTGAAGTCGGTGGAAAAAGAAATAAACATTCAGCAAATGGTTCTGGAACAACTGATTATCCATAAGGAAAAATAATTGTACTCCTATGTGTATGCTGTATTTAACAATAATAGTGTTTTTTTTAAAGGTAAATGTAAGATGACACCAAAATCACACAAAATAGGATTTTCAATATTCCTGTATTATCAGGCTATTCATCACTTTGGGAAAAGCGATAGTAAGCATAGTAGCATTTGGAGGCACGGAAGGAGAGCTAAGAAAAAGCATTTGAGTAAGCATAATTACCTCGGGAGAAAAAAAATTGGTGTTTGGAATCAACAGGTTTTGTTTAATAAAAGCAAAAACCAACAAACCTAAGCCAAAACACAAATTCATAAGGTCATGAACCAAGGAACAAGCTGTGTGGGCCTGGCCTAGCCAGGTGCACTATGCCACCTTCTAGCTTAGTATACTGTAGAATCATTTCTTACAGTGGTAGGTGCTAAAGTTAGCTTAAAGGAAGAAAGTGCCCAAGTTATCCTCAAAAATCCTTTAAATGGCCCAAAAAAGTTCAGGCTACTGGTTGCTTATACAGCCTCATATTTATAAATATGCAATGTCAATAATGTGCTGTATGTAATAAAGCATGCATATGCAAAATATGGAGCCCTGCTTAGTGCGAACAGTTGAATAGGAACCTAAACTGCTGTGTAAACCTTCACTGAAAAAACAATAAAATAATAAAAAAAAAGAAGAATATAAGGGTAACGTTATTGTAAAATGGCGTGAAGTTTAGGGTACTGACCCTCTGTTGTTCTTTCAGCTGTGGGCTACAAAGCTTGAGCCGGAGATGGTCCGCCCAACCCTAGAGAAGACGCTCCAGCTTCTCCAGTTTGATTATGTGGATCTTTACATCATTGAAATGCCCATGGCTTTAAAGGTGAGTTCCAATGTCATAGGTTAGGCCTCTGCTCCAGGTGGTGTAAGTCAGCAGCTACATGCATGATGCTAATTCATGACTTAGCACCATAATGTCAGAATCTATGGTGATGTCTGTCAGTTTGTCGTACTGTGAGGGCTTGCGTGTTGCTGTGATGCTGGAAGCTATGCCACCAGTATTCAAATACCAGCAGAGTCACCCATGGCAGACAGGCTTCAGCTGAGCTTCCAGACTAAGACAGACTAGGAAAAAGGACCTGGCAGACTACTGCTGAAAAGAATTAGCCAGTGAAAACCTTACGAATAGCAGAGGAACATTGCCTGATATAGTGCCAGAAGATGAGCCCCCCAGCTTGGAAGCCACCCAAAAGACAACTAGGGAAGAGCTGCCTCCTCAAAGTAGAGTTGACCTTAATGACGTGGATGGAGTCAAGCTTTCGGGACTTTCATTTGCTGATGTGGCACGACTGAAAATGAGAAGAAACAGCTGCAAACATCCGTTAATAATTGGAATCTGGAATGTACGAAGTATGAATCTAGGAAAACTGGGAATCATCAAAAAATGAAATGGAACCCATAAAGGTTGATATCCTAGGCATTAGTGAGCTGAAATGGACTGGTATAGGTCATTTTGAATCAGACAATCATATGATCTACTATGCCAGGAATAAAAACTTGAAAAGGAACGGCATTGCATTGATCATCGAAAAGAATATTTCAAGATCTATCCTAAAGTACAATGCTGTCAGTGATAGGATAATATCCATATGCCTACAAGGAAGACCAGTTAATATGACTATTATTCAAATTTATGCACCAACCACTGAGGCCAAAGATGAAGAAACTAAAGATTTTTACCAACTTCTGAAGTCTGAAATTGATTGAACACACAATCAGGATACGCTGATAATACCTGATGATTGGAATGCGGAAATTGGAAACAAAGAAGAAGGACTGGTAGTTGGAAAATACGGCCTTGCTGATAGAAATGATGCTGGAGATTACATGATAGAATTTTGCAAGACCAGCGACTTCTTCATTGCAAATACCTTTTTACACTAACATAAACGGCGATGTACATGTGGACCTCGCCAGATGGAATACACAGGAACCAAATCGACTACATCTATGGAAAGAGAAGATGGAAAAGCTCGACATGATCAGTCAGAACAAGGCCAGGGGCCAACTGTGGGACAGACCATCAGTTACTTACATGCAAGTTCGAGCTGAAGCTAAAGAAAATTAGAACAAGTCCACTAGAGCCAAAGTGCAACCTTGAGTATATCCCACCTGAATTTAGACACCATCTCAAGAATAGATTTGATGAGTTGAACACTAAGGACCAAAGACCAGACGAGTTGTGGAAGTACATCATATATGAAGAAAGCAAGAGGTCATTAAAAAGAAGGAAAAGACCAAAATGGATGTCAGAAGAGACTCTGAAACTTGAACATCGAGTAGCTAAAGCAAAAGGAAAAAATGATGACGCAAAAGAGCTGAACAGAAGATTTCAAAGGACGACTAGAAAAGACAAAGTAAAGTATTATAATGACATATGCAAAGACCTGGAGATAGAAAACCAAAAGGGAAGAACATACTCAGGATTTCTCAACCTGAAAGAACTGAAGAAAAAATTCAAGCCCTGAGTTGCAATACTAGAGGATTCTACAGGGAAAATTTTAAACTATGCAGGAAGCATCAAAAGAAGATGGAACGAGTACAGAGTCATTATACCAAAAAGAATTGGTCAATGTTCAACCATTTCAGGAGATAGCATATGATCAGGAACAAATAGTACTAAAGGAAGAAGTCCAAGCTGCACTGAAGACATTGACAAAAAACAAGGCTCCAGGAATTGGTGGAATATCAATTGAGATGTTTCAACAAATGGATGCAGCACTGGAGGTGCTCACTCATCTATGCCAAGAAATTTGGAAGACAGCTACCTGGCCAACTGACTGAAAGAGATCCATATTTAAGCCTATTCCCAAGAAAGGAGATCCAACTGAATGTGGACATTATCAAACAACATCATTAATATCATATGCAAGCAAAATTTTGCTGAAGATCATTCAAAAGCGACTGCAGCAGTATATCGACAGGGAACTACCAGAAATTCAAGCCAGATTTAGAAGAGGACATGAAACCAGGGATATCATTGCTGATGTCAGGTGGATCCTGGCTGAAAGCAGAGAATACCAGAAAGATTTTACCTGTGTTTTATTAACCATGCTAAGGCATTAGACTGTGGATCATAACAAATTATGGATAACATTGTGAAGAATGGTAATTCCAGAACACTTAATTGTGCTCATGAGGAAATCTGTACATGGATCAAGAGGCAGTTGTTCGAACAGAACAAGGGGATACTGCATGGTTTAAAGTCAGGAAAAATGTGCGTCAGGATTGTATCCTTTTGCCATACCTATTCAATCTGTATGCTGAGCAAATATTCCTAGAAGCTGTACTATATGAAGAAGAATGGGGCATCAGGATTGGAGGAAGACTCATTAACAACCTGTGTTATGCAGATGACACAACCTTGCTTGCTGAAAGTGAAGAGGACTTGAAGCAGTTAACTGATGAAGATCAAAGACCACAGCCTCCAGTATGGATTACACCTCAACATAAAGAAAACAAAATCCTCACAACTGGACCAATAAGTGACATCACGGTAAATGGAGAAAAGACTGAGGTTGTCAAGGATTTCAACTTATTAGGATCCACAATCAACACCCATGGAAGCAGCAGTCAAGAAATCTAAAGACGCGTCGCATTGGGCAAATCAGCTGCAAGACATCTCTTTAAAGTGTTAAAAAGCAAAGATGTCACCTTGAGGACTAAAGTGCGCCTGACCCAAGCCATGGTGTTTTCAATAGCCTCACATGCATGCGAAAGCTGGACATTGACTAAGGAAGACTGAAGAAGAATTGACGCCTTTGAACTGTGTTGTTGGCAAAGAATATTGACTATGCCATGGACTGCCAAAAGAGCGAACAAATCTGTCTTGGAAGAAGTACAACCATAATGCTCGTTAGAAGCAAGGATGGCAAGACTATGTCTCACGTACTTTGGACATGTTATCAGGAAGGATCAGTCCCTGGAGAAGGACATTATGACTGGTAAAGTAGAGGGTCAGCGAAAAAGACGAAGATCCTCAATGAGATGGATTGACACAGTGGCTGCAACAATGGACTCAAGCATAGCAACAATTGTGAGGATGGCACAGGACTGGGCAGTGTTTTGCTCTGTTGTGCACAGGGTCACTGTGAGTTGGAACTGACTCAATGGCACCTAACAACAACATGGTGATGTCTGTATTCCCATGAATCTGAGAGAATTGACCCAGCCCAGAAAGACTATGCATAGCAGGCTTAGGCTTGGTTCCCATGTTTCTTGATTCTTTTTTTTAAATATTTTATTGAGTTTTTGGTGAAAATTTACACAGCAAATTAGGTTCCCATTTAACAATTTCTACAGTATTATTCAGTGACATTGGTTATATTTTCCACATTGCATCAACATTCTCATTATTCCCGTTCTGGTTGTTCCATTTCCAATATTCTTGCTTCCCTGTCCCCCACCTCCCATCCCCACTCCAACCTCCTCCTCTTTGCTTTAGGGTAAATGCTGAGCATTTGGTCTCATATAGATGATTTTTCTTTTTTTTATAAGCCAATCTGTTATTTAGTTGAAAGATGACGTCCAGAAGTAGTTTCATTTCAAAGTTTAAAGGGTATCTCAGGGCAATAGTCTCAGGAATTCCCTAGGTCTCTGCCAGTCCAATAAGTCTGGCCTTTTTTTTTAGGATTTTGAGTTTTGTTCTACAGTTTTATTTCATTCTATCTGGGACCATCTGTTGTGGCCCCAGTCAGAACAGTTGGTAGTGGTAGCTGGGCACCATCTAGTTCTTCTGATCCCTGGATAGGTGAGACCTGTTTCTTGATTCTTCATCCAATGCACTTTCTATCATTTTATGTTTTTACAACTATAGTTTAAACCCTTCCCATCAAACCAACATGTGGTCCCCTGACTGTAGTCCATATTTTAGTTGCCTGACGTGCAGATGTACCCTCTTCCCACTCACACAGTTATAAAAAATGTCCCTGCATGACATAACACAACAATAACATATACAACTGAAAATATACTCAACTCTCCACCCCTTCAAAGGGAGACAACCCAATGAACAGTCGAGTTTTTGAACCCAGCTCCAAGGTCAGTGTGTCTAGATGATACCTATTCCTCTAGTTCAAATACAGTCCTACATGGAAATTTTCCGATGTGTGGATTCAAGGTTAATTCAACCACCAACGACACACCCAAGATACATGGCTGAGGAGCAAATAACTGCTTTACAATTTCATTGAGGAAAGGAGAGATTGAGAAACAAGGTTGGTCACTTGTCCACGAGGGAACTCAGATTCTGCAGGGGCGGGATTCCCTTAGGCAAATCTATCTGGCTGTCCCCTCTTCTGTTCTCTGGAGTATTTGACTAGTTGAATCTCCTTTGTGGTCACATTCAAGTGAGACTTTGAAGAAGATTCCCTTTTTGCCTTCTAGTTCATGTAGGTGTGGGTTCAGGGGCTTCACAGCTGCCTTGGTAATCATAGGTCTTTTTTTGTCAGTCTGAGATTTCACTGACAGGACAATATCCCTTAAAATCTTGCTAGGCTTTCGGTAAATTCACAGTCAGCTCCACGAATGAGTAATCAAAGCTACAAATCTTATAGGGTCACGTTTCTGACATCTGAATCCTTGGCCTAAACTAATGGGCCACAACTACCACAACTTCCACCAGATTGAGCCGAGAACTACTAGGTGGTGCCCAGTTACCACCACCGACGGCTCTGGCAGGGATCATAGTCGAGGGTCCCGGACAGCGTGGGAGAAAAATGTAGAACAAAATTCAAATTAAAAAAAAAAAAAAAAGACCAGTCTTGCTGGTCTGACAGAGACTGTAGAAATCCTGAGTATGACCCCCAGGTACCTTTTAACTCA